CCGCTCGAGGTCAAACGCTGGCGCGGCCCATCAGGCTTCTTTATCCGATCGAGTCGATTGTCGTTCCGCAATAACACACTTATCCTCGGGTACCGATTTCGGCGGGGACTGTCGCGAACCCTGCCGGTTTGCGCTCGGACGTCATACATGGTCGTTGAGCTCTTCGGAGGTCAGCATAAAACATATGATATTCTGCATGAAACTGATATAATCTTCCATAAGGAGGTTCAATAAATATATCATGGGACGGTGTACGGAGGACGGAAACCTGCAGCTACGCGCGGGCGCATAACTTCGTCGTCGCGAGTTCGGTGATGGGTCGCCATCATGGAACAGAGCCAGTTACTCGTGGTGATCGGACTCGCACGGAGGTCTACTCCGGGGTCCACGAATCATCCAGTCCACCGTCCACCCTACCGTGCCATTTCAGGATTTTACAGTGTCTTCAATATCCATATGGTAGTCGGAGGGGTGCGAGACAACAGCTGGAATGGAGCAGGAATTCACTTTCCTCCGTGAATTGCTCTGGCCACCAGACACTACCAGCGACCTTGTAGGAACGCAGAACCTGAGAAGGGTCGTGACTTCCGGAGTGACGGGACCCCGGGGAAGTAGCGTATTGCTGTACGTCTCAGGCTATTCGCCTGATGGCGTCGACGGCGCGACACGAGCGAATTAATTTCCCAACGTCCAGTTTCAAAGCCTTCTATTCCGCTCAGGCGAAAGTTCTTCCTGGAGCAGATAGAACGCCTGCGGTGCTGGCTTTTCTGTTTGCTTTTAGTCATTTTTCGGAAAAGTTCGCTGCCGCGCGCCGGGAGAACTTCTCGGATTAGACGACCACGCAACGTCGTCCCGTGACAAGAGATTTTTTTTTGTTTCCAGTCGGAAGGATATTTTCATTGAGCTAAGTGTTTTACTCCCAGCCGCAGACCCACCATCGAGATAGCGATGTGCCGCCGTTTCCGTTTCGTGATTCCCACGGTATCATAATGGTACGATACTGATCGTGGAATGGAGATCAGATAAGCCGTCGAGAGGCTTGCGGAAGCTGAACTCGGCTCAGTTTCGAACGCTCTCATTCCGAAAAATGTCCCGACCGAGGAGGGAGTAGAGTCGTTTTCGAGCGTAGCATCGTTTTTTTTCTGGCACGAGTTCCGTGGAGGAGCTAGAATAATTCAGAAATTCTTTGAAATACAGCGCGGCAGGGTCGAGGAGTCGTTGAAGAGAGCAGTTCAAATCGTGGCTCGAGTGGGTTCATCGTCAGGGTTCAAAACGCCGACTCGTACGCTTTTACCGGTTTCGTATGTTCGCCGGTTTTGTCTATTTTCTCCGGACCTGAGAGTCACTTGTCTTCACTCAAGCGCAAACATCCATCTGCCCAGTTCTGTCGTCGCGGTGACAGTCGACAACATCAACCGCAAGAACGTCGCAAAGTGAGCGAAATCGCTTTTCACTAAGACGATGTCCTCCCACTACAAATCAGAACGACAAACATCGTTCTGTGGAACCAGCTCCCGATGGCTGTCCACATGGACGGCTTCGTTGCAAATATTATTATGAGCGGAGCTCGAATCCGCGGCGCATGTGAGACGAGCCTTTCGCGCTCTGGCGTCGAATCGATTGTTGACGCATTGAACTCGCAGCAGATCGCTTTTGTTTGACTTGTCGTCGTTCCCATTGAGCGGCTCTAGTGATGATTATCGAGCCCCTCAGAATCCTTTTCGTTTTCTGTTTGCGCTCGCTAGCCAGTCGAGTCGTCCACACGCAGAACAAGAGAACGTCGTCGGCAATGACATCGGATCAACATCCGTATGAAGATCATACGACTCCCGTCGTGGGTGAATCGCCGACGAACATCGCACCCAACCCCGAGGGAAGGCGGTGGCGACAGTATCTCATCAGCTTCAGCTCAAAGAACGGGGCCAGAGACTCAGATTTCGATTTACTCGACGGATAGCGATTTCGGAAGACCTCATTGAAGAATATGGCTTCATTCCGAGAGCGTTTGTGACCGAGAGACCCAAGAGGAGCGCTGAAGTTATTCGCGTCGTCGAGCGTAACGCAGCGGGTGGAGATTTAATTTGAGCGGCCCTTGGAGCGAGCTGTTCGAGTCCGCCGTCATCAGCTCGGCTCTAGAGCTGCCAGTGTCGGGCTCCATTCGAGATCATGCGAGGAGGGAAGGAAGCAATCATTGTTATTTATTAGAGCATATTTCGCGTCGAGAGTCGAGGGCCTCTCTGGTTGAACGGGGCTAGCGATAGGCACGGTCAACATACACTGTCGACAATCGAGCGAGCTCCTTAATTACAACTATTCACTCGAACGTCCTCTTCCACCGCGCCTCCCTTCTTGAGAGATGCATGACGCCATGAGTCTGATGCCGAGACATGAAGCCTCTGGAGAATGAAAAAAAAATGCGGAAGTCGATTTCACAGCTCGACGCTGATCCGAATAAACTGACTCTAGGACTGTTTCCACAATGACCGTGCGCCCGACCATCATCCGCGCCTGATCAGCCGCCGAGAGCCTCGCTCTCAAATCTCAACCCGTCGGAGACGATTTGTGGTCGATATTTCCCGAATTCAGTGGCGTCTGGAGAAAAACAGAACCATGAGAGCGCCGAAAACCCGAGTCTCCTTCCTCCGCAAGCGACTGGTCGAGAATTTCCCTATGAGGCGGGAATGAGTGAGCGAATCCTGGGTCGACTCCTCCAACAAAAACAGTATTCTGCTGGGCGCAAGCGCGTATGCAATAAAGAAGGGGGGCTGAGGGGAAGAAACGCGTTCAGAAAAGTTCGAGAACAGGCACCGAAAGGGCGCGCCATCGTCTCGAGTCCTTCCACTGCCAGAAAGCAAACTGCCTCCGAAGAGTCCTTTTTCGTCTTGGAAACTATGATCTACCTTTCGATCTCTGGGTGGTATGTCATCGACAAGAACAAGGGCAAGCAATTCGTACTCCAGGGTTCCCACTGACTTCCGGCATGGGAGCTCGAATGAAATCTTAATTTCCCATGAACCTGCTTAGCATACTATACCGATGAACTTCCACCCGAAAAGCGATTTCAGAGCAGGATGTGTCCAGCGACTTGCGGCAAGTCTGAGCCGGCTTTTCCCGGTTATTTCAAAGAGGCTTATTCGATAATTCGTTGAATATGATAGAATTCATACAGAGCCCTTTCGCAAGGTTGACTTCGGGTGCTACATCGCGAACACTGAAGCGAGCGGTAAGGGTTGCAGAGTGCAATCCGATGGCAGACGTCGGTGAGACGGGCGAGGATACTTTAGCGTTGATCCAGATGAAGACCGGCGGACGTCCGAACGACCGAACATCTGACTTGTGCAAAGCTGAGGACGACGCCGTATTCTCACGTAAGTAAGCCCGACTTGTAGACCCTGCTCCTTCCCTCTGTGGCGATAGACTCTGGTCATTTTCTGCTGCATTTTCTGCGTTTCTGTCGAAACGCTCCGCCGATTGAACGCTAACGTGACGACATGCAAATCGCGTCCAGCCGATCGCCGCCGTACGCTTAGTGAAGTTTCCCGGGGATATTGACATCTTTGTCGCCGGAAAACCTCCAGGGGACTCTCAGGCGACGGACTTTGCACGGGACCGATTCAAGACATCGCTCCTGCGGGCGGAAAATCGTCCAAATCTCCCGTCAATTAATTTTATCCGATGAACCGCGACCAGGGAAGGTCTCGAAGCTCTGAGCTTTTTCCACGATTGACGCCGACGAAGGCACGGGAGCTTATCTTGGGGATTTGTGGCCTTCTATCGGATTCCCCTCGAACAGCTATATTCTTACTTATTTCTGGATCTGGACGTGAGGTTAGAGTCTCCAGACCCAAACGTGATCCTCCCACTGAAGACGTGGATTCTGTATTGACAACTCCTGCGCGTCGACGTTATCGTTTCCGCAAAATTGATTTGGGTTCCGACTCATTAAATGTAGAGTCATCGTTCTCGTCTGCCACACGCAGCCAGCGTGGGGAGGCCTTGGCGGGTGGATGCCCCTGCTGCGTAGGAGTCGAAATCTATATTTATCCTCTGCTTTGAGTTTTCTTAAACATCGCGCTTTTCCGGATCATTCAGACATTCCCATTCCAGTTCATAGATTTTCTGTTGGACGATTTCTATTCCCTCCGGATCATTCGCATCGGAGAATCCACGGATGTCGTAGAACGCCGATTTTTTCTCTATCCCGCGACCGATCCTCCTCCGCGGGTGTTCATCGCCCTAAAACAACCCCCCCCCCCCCAACAACCCCCTTCCTTCTCCCGGATTCAATGCAAATCTCTGAAGAATTCTCAAAATGAGTGAGCTGGAGAATCTCACCGTTAACGACCGTCTTCGGTTCTGGGTTTGTTCAATCCTAGACCCTGTCTCAGTACGAATACTTAAGTATGAGAGCTGCCGGGAACCAGTCCATTGGCTTTCCGATGCCTGGCAGGCGGCAGCGTTGCTTGGCCGGCGTGTGTGTTCCCGAATACATGAATGATTATGACACGCAAGTCTGTCTACTTCAGGAGCGTTCGTATGTCGTGAGGCCTAACATTACGTAAGTCACGTCCTTTGAGTTTTTGCTTCCGGCGCGATTGCATCGAGGACCGCTGACTGATACATTGTCATTCATGCTCGTGTAAGATCTCTCAATGATCAACGAGCGATCACAAAGTCTAGCTCCTCACAATAGATTTAGTCATCGTTAACGGATTCACCCTTGGAGACACTGATCTACATCAGCTGTATCTCACTCGTTATGCAAATTAACGGGAATCGAATCGAACTTGAAAGTCCTCCGTTCGAAGACATGTTCTCCGCAAAGAGCGGTTCCCGGATCATTTCCAAATAATCGTCGCGAATCGTGAAATCCTCATCAAAAAGGCTCCAGTCTCTGTCTCTAGGTCCACGCAAGATTCCGTATGATACCGACGATGATGACGGTGATCTCATTAGGAAAATCGATGAAATGGGAATGTCTAGGAAGGATAGAAGCTCAATATTGGAGTGATTTTATTCTCAGGTACTCCGTTATGCCAACGGTCGTTCCGGCGGACAGCGTCTCGTCCCTAACGAGCCGAAGTCTTGGGGATCCGTACCTCGAAATCGCTTGGCTCTCTACAGTAACGCTCGAACAATATGAAAAACTCATTGAACGCGATGACTCTTTCGCTAGTTGTGTCTTGGCCTGGCTGAAAGGATGGTTTTCCCAAAACGCAAGAGCGCTCCGATCCGACGAAGACTGTGAGTGAATTCTTCGGCGTGGGCGGGAAGAACATTGAACGCCGAAACGGAGCTCTAGCCGCAAAGTTGCAGAAAATCCTAAGCCCAGAAAATTTACATGACTCGGCTAATCACGCGTGGAGAGAAATCTTCGAAATACAGTCGGAGCCGCCCATGAGAGACAGATGCAGTTCCCCGGTCTCATTGAATCCTTTGGGGGAAACCTCTCGCTCAAGGTAAACTCGTCTATAGGAGAGACTTCCCGGGAAGTTCCTCGGCTCCTCCCGAGGAGTCCCTTATGGGCGGCTCCGATTGTATAATGAGATTCATGAGAAATTAATGTCGAGCACGGCTGTATGTTTTCCGGATTCAGACCTGCGGGGCATCGCACTGCATAATTTCATGGAGAAGCTCGACACGGGAGTGATACTATGCCATCTAGCGGAATTGATTGTGGCTCAGTCAATAGATTTGGGAAGACCGATACTCCGCAAGGTTTGTACACTCAGTAAATAGCAAGCGCATGATGCGACATATCGAGCCAAAACCCCACTCGAGAGCTCTTCCGATATTTCTTCAGCTCGATAGAATCAATAAATTTTGTACACTGACTCGGAGTCTAGAAATCCGAGTCCCGGGGTCTTCTCACCAAGTTCGCCCATTCCTTTGTGTAGGACTCGGCGACTAGCCTCAAAATTTACTCGTACTACTGGAGCGAGAATTCTCACTGCCCATCCCCCATACATTCCAGTGCGTTCCGGTGTTCAATTTCAAGCCGTGGGAGGCAGCGAAACCTAAAAGTTTCTACGCGAGGGACAATGTTGAGAACTTCACGAGATGGTGCCGACGTTTCGGAGTCAACGAAAGCGTACTGTTCGAGTCCGACGGGCTTGGTGAGCTGACCTCAATGTCCTTTTCCTCAGAAGCGACGATCCCGCTCAAGTGGAAAGCCAACACTTCTTTTCAAACTCTAGAATTTATCAGCCGTCTGCCTCAACGCAGCACAAGGAGCTGTTGAGCAGATGCTCCGAAATCTCCGTCTGCTCGTGAACGTCGTACGGGTGTCAGAGTGAATCTTGTTTCAGTGATGCATCAAGCCCCCAGATACGTTCTATTGGTGTTGCTCGAACTGTGTCGTTTGTGTGCTCAACGCGGGATCGACTCACCCGCCCTGCACGAGAACCGGCTCCGCGAAAAACAATTACGGCTAGCAGAAGAGCAGCGTCGACAGAGACTGGAGAGAGAGCATGAGGTTCTATTGCGGAAACGGGAAGAGGTTCGTTGAGTGGATGATCCCGGCTGGACTGAATGATTCTTCTCCGCCGTGGAATTATTCGTGGATTAATCTTCCCGCGCTGACGCTTGCTGGAGAGCAGATCTTGTTGTACATGTACTCTCGATGAAGTTCGATTCCGGCGATGTACGATGAAAAGGATATTCGGGAAATAACCACATACTATCCTGATTATTTCTGGAGGGTCCCGAGGTCGAGCTAGTTAGTAAACAACGATGAACCAATGAGCATTCATGACCTCAGCGAAATGCTTCAGGAAGAAGAGACCGCGCGGAATGCGGCCGAGCAGCGCCGTTTGCTTGTCGAACAGGAGAAAGGAGCACAGATCCGCAAACGAGCCGCTCTGGAAGAGGCCGAACGGATTCGCAAGGCGGAGGAACTGCGGAATTTGGAAGAGTTGAGGCGAATTGAGGAGTTGGAGAGAGCCGAGAAGCGAAGGCTCGCGATGGAGGCGGAAGCTCGGAGACAACTCCAAGAGGAGCTCGATCGACGAGAGCGGGAACGACTCGAACGAGGTGAGGCTTGAAAAATTCCGTCTGAACGCGGACGAGTTGGGGCGCTTAGCAGAGAGAAATTCTGGGCCCGGGGGGAAGTTCGGACATGGGCCCCTCTCGATCATGGTCAGTGATCCGTCACCAGAGGAGTGATGGAACGAATCGGTCAAAGCAGCAGTTTCCATTCCATGCATATTTTGGAAAGGGGAAGAATTTAGGACGCAGACAAATTATTTGACTAACGCTTGAGCAAGGGGCCCTTCCGGAAACTTTGGGCCCGGGCTAAGAGGTCACCGATACCCCCCCCCTCTCGTCGGGCCTGGGCGCTAGGATTCAGGAAGGTAGGTATTTGATAGTACCCCCCTGAATCCTGCGGATGACGGACATTATCATTATCATATATTGGAGACAAGTGACCGAGGCGCGTTTCAAACTGATGACTCGCTATCGTGAGACAAGGACTCTATGTTTTGCCACACGGGAGAATTCTCCGAGAAGGGAAATATTGGAGGAGAAGGAATGGGAAGCCTCGCGTGGTCCAGCTGACACGCAGACCGCGCGTCTTGCCATCGGCCATCAGGGATTTCAAGCATCCCATGCATAGAGTACGGAATGGTAATCAATATCATGCGCAATGGCAATAATTCTCGCTGCTCCACGCATGAGAATTCGCTCCGGGATCGAGGTATTTTCCACTCCTCCCTCCTGATGGGGAGATACTCCTACACCTGGGCTCGACGCACGAGTCTACGCCACAGTTTTGAAGACTGCGGGGAGTTTCGCGGAACAAGGAGGTCCCCCAGAAACGTGAACGAAACCGGACGGCCCGCGATTTTCAGGGATGAAGGGCTCTCTCGGGTCAAGAATGAACGCGCTTGGAGCATTTGGAGTTTTAGTGGCGTGAGGACCCTGCAGCTGGACGTTAAATTTTATGCTAGTCTGGGGAACACCATGGGAGATTGATGGGGAATGGGGAAGTGCAATAAAAGAGCTGGTTTCGAAAGACCCGCCGTTACAGAATTGTTTCTCGTGCGACGGCGGATGGCGACTGAGTGGGAAGATTTTGCACTAGCCCTCGCATATTATGCTCACAGTTTTTCTGCCTGAGGCGGCCCGACTCATTCTTCTGTTTGACCCTCAGAATCTCGAAAGTCTCCGGATATACCTGATTCAGGTATAAGCACACCGGTGTGCTTCGCTGAATCGGTATCGATGCCAGGCGTTGATGAGACCCATCTGAGCGACAGCACGAACAAGTCGAAAAACAGGAAGAGTCGTCTGCCTGTGCCAACGAAAAATGGTAGAACTGAGCCTCCGCTGAAGCCGACGAGTGTTCTTGACGAAAAGGTGAGCTCAAACCTGATACATATTTCAGCTCAAAAGAGGAGCGAGCGTTTTTCGAGGAAGAATCGTGTGAGGAAATGTAGACAGACGACAGATGCTCGTAGACTCCTCTAATCTCACTTTTCACCCGGGGACAGGTGAACACAATTGTCAATAAGGTTCTGCAAGGTGCGAAGCTGCATCGCCTCGCAGAGGGAAAATATCTCATTAACGGAAGAACTTTCCTTGTTCGGGTAAGCTGTTACTCTAACATAAGTCACGGAATATATGACTGCTCAAGCGAAATAAATGTTCCGGGTCCTTCGTTGAGCTGCGCGAGTCCGCGAGGATGAGCAGTAGCTCTCGTGAAGAGCTCGTACCCTCGGAATGAATTTATTTCTCGCCAATTCCGGGAGGGTTCTCGCCTTACTTACGTATGAGGATTCTCGCAATCTCCCTTATTAAAAGCTCTATTCTTGTAGCTCCTCAACGACAGACAGGTCATGGTTCGTGTCGGCGGGGGCTGGAAAAGTCTCGAGGAAATGCTCCGACCCCGGGTACTTCGCGTCAGAGGCGAGCAAACTACAACGAAATCCGCCTCGAAGGTCACGGGCATCTCGAAGGAGAATGTCGAGTGCGTGCGAAAAGCTCTCGGTGGCTCTCTCACTTCGGTGGCTTGTGAGTGCTCATTCCAAACCGTTCCGCTTCGAACCATTCAGGGCGTCTTCGTTCAATTCCTTGGCTTTTCGAGTCCGATACTAGCCTGTTCAGCACTATATATTGTTTTTTGATTCCAGCGTCGGTGTCGAATTCCAGCCGGCGCAGTAGGATTCCTGTAGGTGACCGTCCACGTTGGAATTGAGAAGTCCCGTCCGGAGAGACAGATGCAGACTTCTGGCTTCTATGATGAATGATGAATAATAATATTTAAGGACATATCCCTGTCCACCTCCATCTTCTGAGTAAGAGCCATTCCGGCGGTAAATCGCTTCGCGCAAAGGTTCCGACTGCGCTCCGGGAGATGCCTCATATGTTGCCAGAGAGAGCCAAAGAAAAGCGTCTCATGTCGAATTAAACCTATTCACACGGCCCCACATTTCGAATAAAGGAATCATTGGACAATTTGGGTAGAAAAAGGAATCAATTGCGTCTACCGCGCGCAGCGTTTGCCTCATCCGAGGAGAAATATTCCCCCGCGAGTGGTCTCCCCGCGAATCTTCGCGTGAAGAATTGCTGGTTCCGCTTTCGAAAAGCTCACGCATCGAATGGTCGGTGATCCCATCCACCAACTTCAGTTGGATTCCGCAGACATCTCGGTTGGATTATATTAATAGAATTACAAGCCTTTATTTTCAATTCATTGGAATCCATGTCCAAACACCAATAAGCGAAGGGAGCTGTGTATACCTAATACGATCCCAGAGGCGTTTTCAAATGTACCGCTTAAAGGGAAGGAATCGCCCGCGTTCCGCACCGATCCCGTTGCTCACAAAATGGAGAAAAAGATTGAGTTTTCCTGCCTAGATCGCTACAGTCGAACAAAGGTCAGAACTCTTCGAAAACACTGACATTCGCTGGAAGGCGGTCGGCACCATCATCGCTTTCGTAGACAAATCGGGGACAGGGTTCAGGCTGTACGGGAACGAGTCCGGGAATCTCTATCGGGATCTCTTTCTTCAGGAGTTTGCGGAAAGATATGTCGGTGAACCACTCGTGTCGCATGAGGTCTTCCGCCCCTCCTTCGAGGCCACCGAGGCGTTTGCTTCTGTCCCTTTCGAGCAATCGGAGTATGAGGTCGGATAACATCGGAGCGATAATTCTATCTTTCGGGATTTTCACATCTTTCCTCAGTATTGCTTCGGCGATCCCGATTTCCCCGTCATGAGAGACATCGAAGGGATGCGTCCCGAAGACGACTTCAAAGAAGAAGACGCCCAGAGCCCACCAATCGACCTCAGTTCCATATTCGTCCCTCTTGATCATCTCCGGCGCCATAATTCCAATCGGGCCAATGAATGACGTCGTTCGCAGTCTCAGCCTCTTCGCATTTCCAAAGTCTCCCAACTTTAGATAGAGATCTTCGAAAACCAATACATTATCCGGTGTTATGCTGCGGTGTACAATTTTGCAAGCATGGATGTACTCTAGCGCCAGTACGAGTTGAGCCATGTGCAACTTTATCACCGAGTCTCTTAAATCCATCGTCAGCAACCGACGAAAATCGCCATACCTTGCGAATTCCGTAATCAGGAACAAATGACCGATGTTCTGAGCTGCGAAACACGCCCTCAAGACGAAAGCGTGCTGCATCGCATACAATAGTTTCTTCTCACTGATCGGTCTCGTGCGTCGCTCGGCTTCCACATCGAACAGTTTTGCCGTGGATTTGAGTGCGTAGAGTCTCCCGTCTCCGACCTTCTCGACTTGGTAGACTTCGCCAAAGACGCCCGATCCGAGTAAGCCTAGAACTTTGAAGAGTCTCGGGTCCTCCTTCGGACACTCGTTCGCTCTGTATCTTTCCTCGAGAGCGGATTCTACTCCTTCGAGACGCGCGACGAACGAAGCTCGGGGAGGATTATCCGCTCCCGGATCGACATGTGCTTCACGAGGGAGGAAATCGTATGTCTTCAATTCAATGGCTTGCTTGGGCGGCAGATTCGAAAATACTTTTCTCTTCTTTGCGAGAACTTCTGCGAAAGAGATTCCGTTGAACCATCGGTGTCGTTTGACATCATCAGCGCCGCCTTCGGACGCACCGAGTCGTTTCGTGACTTCTCTTTCGAGTAAGCGTTCCAAGAGGTCGCAGAAGAGCGAATCATCGCTGAAGTCATCGTGTTCTGGGAAGACTAAGGGAGCGGACAATATTCCGGAGATTACTTCCAGCTTGGTCGACCCAGCATCGAAGAAAGGATGTTCTCGGAAAACGAGACGGTAGAGCATCACGCCAAGCGTCCACCAATCGTTTTCTTTTCCGTATCCCGTCCGCAGGAACACCTCTGGAGCGTGGAGCTGAGGATCCCCGATGAGACCGGAAGTTTTACTCTGAACCTTGGAGGCGAGCCTGAAGCCTCCGAGTTTGATGTAAAAGTCTTTGAATATTAAGACATTCTCTAGCGACAGGTCGTGATGAATTATCCTGCAAGCGTGCAAGTACTCGATCGCTAGGATTATTTGAGCGGAAAAATGTTTCAGGATGTCTTCCGGCAGATGTCTTCCGAGGAACGCGGTCAAATCCCCGTACAGCGCGTGCTCGATGACCAGATATGAGTTCCTCGCGTCTTTGAATCCGAAGAACACTTTCACCACGAAGTCCGACTCCATGGCGTTCAGCAATTTCTTCTCCCGCGCAGTTTTCCTTGCGTCACTCTCCGTGTCGTTAGCCCTGGCTCTGACTTTCAACGCGTAGGAATTTCGATCTTTGCGGTACTTCACCAGGTAGACTTCAGCAAAAAGTCCGGTAGCGAGGCGACCCTCGACTGCAAAGTTTCCGATCTCTTCCGTAGGTGGTTTGCTGTGTTTGAACCTCGAATCCATCCGAGCCCCTGCACACTTCAGGAACTTCTCGTAATCTTCGAGAGCTTCGCATTGCTCCATGACGCGTACTATTCGAGTCTCGTTCGCTCTTGCCTTCGTTGTCTTCGCCGGCTCGGCTCTCGCTGATTGCTACGAATCTACTCGTTACCGGCATAACCAATAATAGAGAGGAGACAAGGCGGCGGACGGGCGCGTGCTCGTTTTATGATGATAACAATAATCGTTCATTTATTTCTCGATTCTCGGACTCTCGAAAATCATTCGATTCTCCTCTCACGGGAGCAGAATTTTCCCCATCTACCCCGCAATAATCAGCGATCAGATGTCGCCTTCTCGTTCGAGCTAAGTCGATTCGCTCACGGCTTCAGGGCTCCGTCAGTAGATGTCCCTCTGATCATTCTCTCTGTCGCGCGTCGTTCCGACCACTCATAAAATTGAGGTTCATTCGTTCGGTAGGCTTCTCTCTAAGCCAACGATCGGGGAGCGGACCTCTGGGTCGACACAATACATAGATGCATCGATCGGATTTCCGACTCACATCAAGCTAGGTTCCAGGGGCGATATTCTTTGATGATCCATCATGTGCGAGCTCTGGTCAATTGGCATCCATCCCCGATTGCGGGAGTGGCCTCATCCAGACTCCAGACTACTGAGACTCTTCCAGTCAGATGTTAGAACCCTTCGAAAAAATTGAGGCATTCATCGGATTTCCCCTCTTGGGAGTCCCCCAGCTCGACAACTTGAGGTATCACAGGATCAAGCTTCAATACCACGGATATCTTCTTGTTGAGCACATCTATGAAGGAGATGTCGCTGAACCACTGATGAAGCTTTACATCATCGGAGGAATTCTTGAGCGTGCCGAGCCGTTTAGTTTTGTCTTTCTCGAGCAAGCGAAGCACTAAATCATACACTGGAGGATCAAGGTCTTCGCGGACAGGGAGGATCACATCATTTTGAACGATTGCGTCCATGATTTGCATTCTTTCCCAATCCGGTTCCGAGAAGGGGTGCGTTCCGAAAATCAACTCATAAATGAAAAGTCCGAAACCCCACCAATCGACTTGTTTCCCGTACTCTTCTCTCTTTATGATCTCCGGCGCCATGTAGGCTGGGGGTCCGACAAACGTTGAGGTTCGGTCCAGAACTTTCTTGGAAACACCGAAATCCCCGAGTTTCAGGTACTTGTCTTCGAATATAAAAACATTTGCCGGTTTCAAATCCCGGTGGATAATTCTGCATGAGTGTATGTACTCGACTGCTAGAACGAGTTGGGCTGCATAGAGCTTCACAAATCCTTCCGGGAGGGACTTTCCTTTGAATCTGCTGAAATCGCCATATTTCGCGAATGGCATTACCAGATAGAGATCCGTATCGTCTTGGAAGGCGAAGAAGAGCTTGACGACGAAGTCACTTTGCATCGCGTGCATGAGTTTCTTCTCTCGGATAACTCCAGCACGCTCACGAGGATCGTCGTACTGGCTTTTGTCTTGAATTTTTAATGCGTAGCTTCCGTGATCTCTGCTGTACTCGACCAGATAAACGTCTCCGAAGCTGCCGCTTCCGAGTAGGCCGAGAATTCTGAAAGACTTGGTATTCTCTCTTGGACAGGCATTAGATGCAAATCGTTCATCCATTATTTTCTCAGCATTCTTTAGGTGCAATCGATAAGCTCCTTCAGAGAGTTCGACACCACCCGAGGCAAGGATCTGTCGAGCCTCCTGTTGAGGGTTGGCATTGACATCGGACCCCATGACGAGTAGCGACTCCTTTCTTCGATTTCTCCTCTCTCAAAAGCCCGGAAACTCCCTCCGTAAGAGCTCCACGTTTCCCGACCCTATCGTCAAGGGAGTGTTCCTCGCGATGATGAGGTTTTCCCTTTGCGTGCCTGAGACTTTCCTTTCCCTTGAACTCTATTCTGCCGCCCGGAATTCAGCTCCGCTTCTCTCCTTCCATGGCGCTGATTTTTGTGTCAGGGGTATCATGCCTGGCTCCTCACTCGATGTCGTGGTCAGCCGACTGATATTAGCTATCAAAGACAATGGCTGGAATGGAATCTTCGTTATCCACCCAGCTCTAGTCATTTTGCATTCCTCCTAGGGAGTCTCGAGCGGACGGTGGAGAGATGCGTCTCAAGCGAGAGCTTTGCGAGATTCAGCACGGCCGTCGTCGATCACAGGAGTCCAAGAACTCCGAACAGTGAAAAGTTGCCTCTGTCGCAGCTTCCAGCTACCCTCGGGCACTTAAGCGGAGCTGCTTTTGCAGGAAAGTAAAGGACGCGCTTGGACGCGGAATCATCCGTCGACTTGATAGTTGATAGTAGTGGATCAATGAAGCCCTCGCTGTCGAAATGGGGAGATCCATCGGAATTTTCAAGGTCTGGGTTTCATCAAAGTTATCGACACTTCTAGCCATGAGAATTCATTTGCAGGCATAACGAATAGTCCGGAGTGTGGCGATTTCGAAAGTCTCTCATGTTTGTCCCATGAATTCCCCGTTCTTCGAGCATTGCCCCCCGTTAGTTTCACGTGAAGGGCAGCCTTTGACCTCGGCCTCAATCATCGAGGTCCAGCTAGAACAGTCCGGACTGAGCTCAGTTGGAATAATTAGCATTCCGCCTCGAATATACGGACGTCAGGAATAATTGCTGACCGCACTAAGCTATCTCCGATTGGTGAACATTGAGCTTCTATTTCTGTTCCCTTACACAGCCCACATTAACGCATCCGGTTAGACGATCGGGCGGAATTATCCGGTAATCCAGAGCACCGATCGACTTCTTTCCATGATCGATCTTCACCCCCTTCGAAAGCGTCATTGCTCTGGTCATTGCTGTATGAAGCGAATCATCCCGTTTTTCCTTTGATTCGTTCGACCCTAAAGCACCAGACCATAGGATTTTCTTGACCAGCAGCCGGAGACTCCCAGGAGGTCATCGAGTCCGGACAATGATTGCCCCAACTGGCCCGGGGTGCAAAGTTTCTCGATACAGTCCGAGGAGAAGTTCAAACGTCGCGTTGCTGATTGCGTGGTTGGTGGACTTTCCTCCGTAATCATTCCCAGTCTCGCTGAATTGCATGCTAAGGCCGACTCCAGGACTCCCTAGCGCCAGCGGATCAACCTCTCGCATCGACTAGGACAATACTTCTTTCTCACGACATCGATGGCGTCCCGGATCCGAGATTTTGACCTCTGGCGTTTCCGGATATGCCTCCATCGGACGTTTGCCAAGATTCTGACTTTTTCAGATCTTTGAATGAATTGTGGAGAAAAATTCCTGAAGAGGTAGTGCTCAAGCACTACCGTTGGTGGGGCGTGAAAACGTCCCGGATCATTGAGATCATGTGGTTTGCTATTTACGTGCGCCTTGTACTTCTGACGTTGTTTACGCCCGATGTGATCGTTCTCGAAACTTAACCAAACCCGACGATGGTCTAGGTCGTCTTTGTCCAGTGCGTAATGTTCGACGTGTCGTAGTTGGCCTATCGCACCATTCACGAGACCATCCTCAACATCCACGTTCACTGTCAGCATGTATGGATATCCTTCTGCCAGGGTTATTGTGTATGGTAAATTCCCCGTATCTCTTATATCTTTCCTGTGCATTTTTCCTATCGCATTCCTCCTTTCGGCTTCTGTTCTGTAACCAGTGTATACATCTGTGGCGATACAATTATGCGTGGATTCTGTTACCGGTATCGCGGAATCATTATAGGCTCGGACGTCTGCACTTGTGTGATAGAGCCTCACGACATCGGTGGATAAATTAGCATCACTCCAGCGCCGCGTACGAAATCGTGATTGTATTTTGTCGGTCTCGGCTTGTGATAATGCTTCGCCGCATCCAATCTTTGTTAGTAATGTGGAGAACCCGATATCACTTTGACGCACAACTTGCACGAGCGGGAAGTATTTCAGTGACTGCCAAAGGATCGCTTTCCCCCCGATCGAACTATTGGTTGCTGTAAAGACTGGGGCCGCTCTAACTGGTGGTAGTTGTTTCAGGTCGCCGCATGCAAACAAATCTAAACCCCCGAAGTTCGCGTCGAATTCGCCCGTCATTGCCTGCAAGCGTGTGTTCACCCCGTGGAAGACATGCGAGCTGCGTATGCTTATCTCATCTATGATAACGCATTTGACGTTCCGTAAATGATAGCGATATGTTTGTAGGACGTCGTTGGAAAGTTGATGAGCTCGGTTGGATAGAGCGAGTTTGAATGCTGAATGAACGGTGACGCCATTCAATGCCGTTGCTGCCTTCCCTGTGGTTGCCGTCGATATATATGCGTTATTCATGGTGTTGTGTTCTTGCGCATATCGATTGTATGTTTCCATGAGAGCCTTCAGCGTGTACGTTTTACCGCACCCCGCCGGTCCAGTAAGGAAAATCTGAATCGCTTCACTATTGGGATCATGCAGGCGATGAATGACTTCCAAAATCAATTCACGCTGTTCCGCGTTCAGCTGTCGCATCCAATGGCAGTAGTCATTCTTGCTCAGAACATTTTCGCGCGGTCTAACCGCGCTTATGGAATTCTGGAGATGATGATCATCGAAATCATCGTCATTGGGCTGGAATTCTTGCGTCGTCACGCTGTCCATACCTTCCGCTGCTTCGGTCGTGGAAATCTCCTCATTCATGGAACATAGAGCTTCTACCTCTTTCAGAAGAGTCTCTATGTCTATGTTCGCTTCGAATTCTTTCCGCCTTTCCATGATGAGCTCTTCATTTTTGTCATAGATCTCGAGGTATTTATCGCGATCGATAACGTCGATGAGCTCATTTCGGAAGGGTATATGCAGCGTTACCATTTCTTGCTTGAAGTTCTCTGTATCACTTACATCATAAATACGATATCTAATAACTTTTCTCGTGGCACGTTTCCGATAGTTGGAGCCTTCGACGTCATTTGTCTCCTCAAACGGATGATGCTCGGAACTTTCGTCCTCTTCACTTATCGGTTTCTTCGCTGCCTCGTACCATGCTGCGAATTGCGCGAGTGTGAGTTCTTCCAGAGATAGCGCTCGTTCTTCATACTTTTGGATGATATTCTTCGTCCATATATCGGTGCTGTCGCTCGCCAAATTTTGAGCATCCATGACGGATTTGCGTTTGCGTGCTCTGTATCTCTCATGTGGTCGCATCGTTGGAATCGATACGGTCCCTCGCGAAGCCCAGCTCATCGGTTGGCGCAACAAGTACCAAGCGGCTTCCTGGGCCGTCATCTCCACGCTATTCAGGATCTTCAGACCGACTTTTGTCATGAGCTGACATTGATCGAATTCGGGATTTGCTTCGTGTATTTTCATGAGCTCCCGGTGCAGATGACTGAACCCTCTATTGGACTTGTTGACGTACTCGACTACGTAATTCGCACAGGAATACGGATCAAGAATGATTTGTAAGTCCATGTTGGCGTTAAGTACCGACGCTATCCATGGATGGAATGTGTTGATGAATATTTGCGACATGTTCCTTTTGAAAAGTATAGTGGGCCTTTTCAAGGATGATCTGATCAGTTCCAGATAGGTGACGCAATCGCAGTTTATGTCCATCATGAAGGCTTCTATAGAGTCGTATGTTTTACTCTCTAATTTCTTCCGAGCGTCAGCGACTTTAATTTTTAGACTTCTTCGCCTACCATCATCTTTACTCAAGGGTAGCAAGAGTCTGGTGCGATGTATCGGCCAGTATGGGATTTCGAATCGACAACTCTGTTCACCCCTCTTCGTGCATGTGAACGTGTGTGCATGGGTTTGATTCTGTATCATATCTGGGGTGGACAAATCTGACGCATCAACGCTGCACAAATCAGTGATCATTTGCAACGTGCGCGGCATTTCTTCCGATATGTCTTCGTTCGGATCATCATTGAGCCAGAGAAGAATGTGCGCGTGAGGGCTCCCGCGGGCTTGAAACTCGATGCGCAGGAAGTAGTCCAGAACACGGTATCGTCCGAAGGGATTGTATGGCTTCTTAGCGCTCAACATAGACATGAGAACGTGTACCAACTTATCGAAATACATGGCACAGGCAACGGGATCCTCCGCGACTAGGAACGCGCGCTTATATCTATCAAGTTTTTCGAAAATTTCTTCCACTCTGATGTCCTCGCCAAGTGACTTGTACTCATCTGATAGATTGTAAAGATTACGCAAAAGATGAGGCCATTTCGTCTCGCTTGCGCTGAGCGTAAGAAATGCGGTCGGTTTGCCGAACTGACGAATCATAGCGAATAGATCTTTCTTACGATATGACCAATATTGCACCGAATTTGGGATCGTTCTCAGGAATGCCTGATTCGTCTCAATCAATCGCTCAACGAATTCACGATCTTCTATCATACTACGGGTAATCGTCTCGGTTTGTCGCATGCAACGATACATGTTTTGGACACCATCACGGACCCGATGTCGAAGAATCTTCATGGCCATATAAAGCACATGTTGAGGAATCACTCCACGTCGATCACTCCGACGGATTTCCGACATGCACATGCTGTACGCTGTTGCGGGAATTTTTTCCCCTGTGATAGACCGTATATGTCGTCCACATCCGAGATATACTGCCGGGAAAGACATCTCCTCGGCAAAGGTGTCGAGAGTTAAACTCTCCGGTCTCCGATGCTGACCCGGAGCTATGTTCAGAGAATGTTCCTCATTCCATATCAACGTGTGTTGTCGTGAATGGATCAACTCAGCTTCCGAAACGGTACACGCATCTATGCGTTCAATCTGATCCTCGTCGTCATTTCCCGAGCTCGTTGCGGACTCATTGAAGACGGACCAATCAATGGTGATATTGTAATGCTTGTAGAGAGGCTGTTGAACCAATTATTTCAGCCATTTATGGATTGTAGACTTTTTCACAAACCCACTAATGTATGATGATTTGTGTACGATGTTCTTCTTCAAATTGACGTTGAAAGCATAATCATCATCGAGAGATCGCGGCAAGCATCGAACCATGGTGTCGACGTCCACCGGGACATTGATGACCTGCCCAATTATACCATATGATCCCTCGTGACGTAAACGACGAATTTGCATATAAGGGATTCGCGGAGAAATCAGCCTCTCGGACACCGGATCCAGTTTTGGAAGGTCCACCGGCTTAGGAGGATACCTGTACCCGTTAACTCTACTGAGATTTGGGATCTTCCTTCCTCGACAGACCTTATAACAATTGTGGCAGAGTCTGAATGAGTGAACATTTTCATCCGGGAAATATGGAATCAGAAAATTTGCCATCACCGAATCCATGGCCTTCAAATCTCGTTTAAACCAAATGCGATCGCACACATCGCATTTGTGTCCGAATTCATTATCGAGAAACATGTGTCGGAAATGTTGTGTCGCGCGCCCCCAAACCTGCTCATACCTGGAACATCGCACTATCTCTGGCACCATTTCATGTGAAGCGCCGTGGCTTATGTCCTCAACAGATCCGAGACTCCCATTCTCCCCATTGCGAGCATGGTTCGTAGCTTGAGAATGTAGCAATGAAGCCTCCCGACGTCGCTTCAGATCGCTCAGCTGCGCTCTTTGGCTTCTTGGCTGGCCCACAAGCCGAACTTTGGGCTTTTCGCTTGAGACGCCTCCTACTAGCATTTTTCGGCCTCATCTGGACGGTCGCACAATCAAAGTAGATCAGTATGCGAACGCAGACACCGCGATGATCAAAAGGGATATCGCTGGATAACGAAGCCCGCATAAGATTTGATGAGTTCTGATGATCGCCTGAATTCTCCTGAAAATCTCTTTCGCGACGGCTCCCAAAAATGAAATAAGTAGCGTCGGTGACGGCACACATCGTCGCCTTTGCCGGGCAAGCAATTCCGATCAATCCAGCGTCTGAGCACTGAATAAAGCGATTATTTATGCAAGAATCGAGGTATCTCAGAGGGTTGCACGAATCGCGCTGAACGGGAGCTCTGAGGACTCCAATCGGCTCCAAAATCGCGTGGAAACTCCTGCCGTGAATTTTCGATACTATGGCACAAACCACGAAAATCGAGGTGTTCGGGGAACAAAGTTATGAAGCGTCAAAAGCGGATCACTTTCGTTTTTGAGGACGAAGTACCCTTGGTCTGTATGCGCGATGAACTTAAAGACGTTTTCACGTCAAAAACGTGGAGCTAGGTACCCCGCTCTCCGACTCCGACGAATAGGGTCTTATCCTCGGGAGTTTTTTCCCGTCAGTTGCGGACTCAATCGTCTCAGAGTGATAATTCTCGGTGCAAGAATCACAAGGCACACATTCCGTGCTGTTCTGTACGAAGAAGCTCAGAAGTTCAAAGTAGGTCTTGACGGAGCCGTCTCTAATATACGGTGATAATTCATCGATGTCATCCAGAAGCCAAATGCCATTAGAAATACGACACTGGAACCATTCGATGGGTCCGCCTCGATACGGGACACCGATCAGAAGCTTGACTTCATTCGTTTCGCTTTCTCCGCTCCGCCTCTCCTCACTAGGGGCTCGAAGCCAGAAAGCCTGTTTTCGAACGCGAGAGTCAAACTTTGTAGATATTTATCAAATTATAGGTAGTATCAAATCATAAACCTTAATTATCCTGGGTCAGCCATTCGTAAGGCAGGAGGCTCCTGGATCCATACCGGTGGTGAACAAAGCCCTTCTGTGATATTCGTTCGAGGACCTTCCGACGGCTCACATACCGAAGGGAGAACTTGTTCGAGTTGCGCTACTCGAGCCACTGCTTCCTCTGCAGCAATGTCCGTTCGGTGGAGCACGATCGGAGCATTCCTCTGTGTTCTCGCTTTGTGAGCTGAGAGCGCCCTTACTTCTTTTCTGACGACACAAGGAGCGGCAAGTTTTCTGGCGAAATTGATTCCGAGTGACCGAGAAAACAACATTCGGGTGGGGAGGTTGTTTCTGGAAGGGTACATGCCTTGATAGTCCGTGACTAGTGATGATACACTTCGTGGAGCATAAGCGCTGAGTCTAAGTTCATCGTTCGCTGAAATGTGTCCGCAACAGAGAGCAAACTCGGTGATGCTCCACTAGGATTGGGATGTTCGGGCGACATAACGCTATCTTGCATCATCTTCATTCGCACAACGGAGGCCAACAACTTATGAACCCTGTGACATACGATCGAAGACGGAGCCTGATCCGAGAGCGCAACGGTGCGCGGGCGCTGAGCTATAATGATTGAAATCATCGCTTTCTGTAATCGGTACTCTAGGCCTATGCGTTGGATCCATTTCTATCATCGAGCTAATCAAGATGGATATGACGGATCAGATTGAGTTTCTCCTCGTGTTCTATTCGGACGAGGGGAGGCTTGCTTTCATCGACAGACCGGTTCCTCAGACAGATGGAATATCCCGCTTCCACGGGATTTCTGATCCTTCCAGCGTAGAGTGCCCTCTCGATACAGCTCGATTCGATAAGACTCTCCTGCCTCCTTTTGTCGTCCGAGAACTGCATGGAAGGTCGTGTCGCAAACTTCTCACAAGATTCTTCGACATAGATCTGTACTCTTCGATTACTGGTTGCTCAGACGCCACGATCGTTCCTTTTTCTTGCGCTTACATTCCACAGGCTGAGTTCGCGGCAACCGAGGAAAGGGAAGAGGCAGCGAATTCCGCCGGGATATATACGGTAAGATCCTTCGCCCGATTCTGCCTCGCGTGTTCGTATAGTAGGTGGGTCTCGAAAACTTTTCCCAGCGATTCCACTGTCGAGGCCCCGGAACTTGGTAAAATGGATAGGAGATGGAATCTATGGATTGAATCCCTAATTATCATTCTGACACATGGCTCCGGCCGCCAAGCTTTCGGGAGTCTCAGGAAGCGTTCGAGGAGTCGAAAGCGTGGAATCTGATACATGCTCGGAGAATGCCCGAAAAGCAAGAAGCGCGAGCTCGAGATGGATCTACATAGATGAAGTTGAGCGAGAGACTTTCAATCGAGCTTCCAACGAGACGGTCCGCTTGAAGCCTGGGGCATGTACGGCGTGCAGCGGAGCATAGGGAGACCTTCTCTTGGAGACGTTTCCACTGGCATCTATTTTTATTATTGGGAATCGACTCTCGCATTCGAGCTTGATTGCTTTTCTCTTCCTTCTCCGCAGATATAAGTCGGGGAACGCATCGGGATGGGTTTGTTTCACGCTCCTCAACAGGAGCTCTATGCAGCCCTCTGGTGCTGTGGGGATGGCCTTTTCCTATCGCGAGCGAGAACTCGGATCCAGTATCGCCTCGACTCTAATTGGAAGGCACCCATGCTTTTCCCTGGTCTTTATCGTGCTTCAAACCTCGAAACTCATTTTCCGTCCATGACGTTGCTAGAAACTCTTTGGAGCGATCTCATGCTATCATTACCTTAATAATTCATCAAGTTGCGTAATTGTAGCGCTTGTCATTTACCTTACCTAGCTGCGAAATGTCAAGCTTGGTTTATCTTCTCCGAATAAAATGCCCACGCTCGAGCGAATTCTCGTCCAAGGTCGCGGAAAATCCAGCTTATGGTGGGAAACTCATTGTCTCGGGGAGGCTCGTCACTCGATTCGAATCGTCCGAGATTTGCCTATGATCTCATTTCCGACCATTCGTTGACTTCGCTGGCGAAGTCAACCTGAGAGAAACACGAAGCAAGGAATTCTTCTCTGATTCCTCTTCTGCGCCAATTTTTACCCGGCAGGCTCCGTGACTAAAAATTGTAATCATTCGATGTTAATCCAGAGTTCGTCGGAAGAGCGAAGTCGCCGCAGTCGAGACTCCGCAGAGCAGAGGGGAAACACCCAGGAGCCGATCCATGAGAATCATAGGTGCTTCGATTGACTCAGATCGACTCCGAATCATCTCCCCGACTCTAATGCAAGCAGGTGCGCTGTTTTATCGATTTTCTTTTTTCCTTTCGATCGCCTTTCCGAGAGGAACATCCCAGCCCCAATACTCTGTCGATCAGTGATAACTTCCCAGTTCTCTGTGTCCAGGAAACGCGGACAGCGAGCACACGAGGGGAAGCGAGCCGCGAGCTAAGATATCTAAACCGGGAGGTTTCCCTCTCAAGTGTTTCTCCATTAGCCTCGAAAATCGAAACAATGTCCCCTTGCAAACCTCGAACCGTAGTAGTCGAAGTCGGTGACGAAGTCCGAATGACCTGCGGGACGTTTTTTATTCTGCTCGAGCTGAGGGCCAATGAACGGATGCTTCCGAGCGCATAAATTGAAATCTAGGACGTCGGCGGCCGCTATGCGGAAATTGATAGAGGGGAAGCACCAGCGGCAGCAACGGCAGCACCGGCCCAACTTGCTCGCTACTTGTCCCGAGGAGAAGTTTTTTATTGGTTGCCGCGGATATTATCATGAGCTGCTGACATAAACATAAAAAGTCTCCCCGACAGAAGTTTGCCGCGAACCAGCTGGTCTGGACCGTTGTTCCGCCCGCTTGCCTCAGGCCTGATACGATAAGAGGAAACCTCTGGCTGACAGCTTACCATAATAACATTCTTCAGGGGAACTTGACGGAGTCTGGTGTGATATTTCAATCCACCCAGAAGCCGGGAGACCACCAACTCCACAAGCGCTTGCCCATACGGCTGGTTCGTCGCATCGGTTTCTTCAGGCACTGTAAAAACGGAACACTGGGGTCATATCCCTCGGGAAATATTGAGATTCGGCTTGATCGTTTACTGTGGATCAAGTGAGATGAGAATATCCTCCGCTCTGACCTCGAGGGAGACTCTGACCAAAGGACCGAGATGCAACGCTAACTGCCAATAAACATCGCAAGGCGTTTACCCTATGGAAGGAACGCTGAGCTCACGGTCGATGAGAGGATTTCTCGGGCTGAGGACTCACAGCCCCATATTGGCTCATCCCAAGGTCAGCGATCAGGACACGCGAAGGCCCCTCAATCACGCATACGTGTACGGGTCGCACAGATTGAAAGATGCATTATCTCGTCGGGGTATTTCGGGAAGGTTCCGTCCATGGAAACCGGAATTCTCGCCATCAAGCTATGTTCACGCTGATGGAGAGCTTGTTCTCGACTGATCCGAAGTCGCACCCCTCTCGAAAAATAAAACAAACATTCCGCTCGGTAAGAATAGGGTGAGGTTGAGACGATTGAGGAGCTTCTCCGCGCAGAGACAGCGGGAATTTTTGTGAATATGGGCATTCTCATCGAGAGCAACGCTCGACAAGGGGGTCTTAGCTGCTCGAATTGATGATAATCGAAATTCGTCGCAAGGTTCATGTGTGCTCTGTTTTAATTGAAGAGTGGGAATCGTCGAGAGACTTGTTTCGCTGAGAGCTTAAGTCTCCCGCACTCGCTCTGTTTGAAGTGGAAATTACGAGAGAATTCGCCCCCTACCGGGCCTGTCAGCATCACAGGTCCGAATGGAGTCTCAGTTCATCAGACCGGGGCGATCCACTTAGCGAATCCGATCTGTGCTGCGACTCGTCCGCGGACCGATTGACCTTCGGAGCGTCGAAATAAGCTCTGTTCCCTCCTGACTGTGTCCGCTATGAAGGAAAACGCGGCCTCCGCTACGGACTCTTCGGTAGAATTGAGTTAGCTCGGTGATCAGCTGAAACATTCGGAATTTCCGCTTCCCTGTGCCGTTCGGCGAACTAATTCGTAGGCGTCTCACCTGAGCACTCAGACATCCGGTCGGCTCTGTGACCGCTGGGAGCATCGGGCCCATATTCGCATCGCGGGCTTCGAACTCTGTAGATACAGAAGAATAACCCGCCCTCGAAGGTTGGCGTTTAGCGAGGATCGCTTCGTCTCTTCGTATCTATCGGACAGTAAGTCCTGGTCTGTGTGACTTCGATTAGACCGTCTCGGAGGGTCGAAACTTGACGCTAAGCTCGGCACCGCATCGTCGCCTCCGAACTCAAATGCGTAGCCTTTCAACGCAAAGAAGCCATTCGATCGATTGCGAAGGAATCTAACATGGGCGAACATTGGCGATCAGGAACCCGAGGAATCTGAGCTGATGATGTTTTCTTTACCTCCGCTCCGAGGAATCGAGCGGTCGCGGGCTGATCGCGACAACTCCGCCATGTAGCTCGAGAAATCATAGCAGAAACTACATCGCTCGGACGCTCCCATAAGGGCAGGTGCGCTATCCGCGTCATTCAACCACGATTATAGAGATGCTGGTGCCATATCGACCTACTGGAATGAACCTCGTCGGACTCCCGGAACTCTCGTCCGATTCGAGATGAGTTTTCACGGCTCCCAGACAGCTTCCCGAGCCCGTAGTCATGGATATACATGGGCCCAAACTGATAACCAGCCGTACACCGATGTGCGCTCCATGGTCCACAAGGACCTCGGAAGCTTTAGACTTGTAGCGCCCCTGAGAAGCTCTCTCTTGCGGGGTTCCCGAGGATACCGTCCTTAATAGAAAAAAGAGCACCTTTCTAGCAGGAGCATGACTTCACCGAACTTCTCCCGATTCATCACGGGTTATGAACATTCGAACGGGAAGGAATTCCCGGAGGTCACGACCCGATGGTAGATTATTATCATTCACGGGTCGTGAACAAATTGTTTAATGATAGTGCGACCGAGTTAGTTTAAGAGAATCGCGAGTGGGTCTGTACGAAAAAAACACGATTTGGATATGCGCAGCCATAAGACTTGAATGGCAAGCACTCGATTCCTTCCGATCATCCCGCCTTGACTAAGCACAATGAGGAATATCTTTGCTACCCCGTGATCCTCGCGTTCCGAGTGAGGCTCACACTGGGGCGTCCAACCCCTCATTCTTGGGACGCTGCAGAAGAAGGAGGAGGGGCAAGCCGTTAGAGCGCAACGATATGCGGACGAGGACCGACGGATCTTTCGTTGTTATCTTCATGCTTCGGGAGCCCGGGAGCCCCAAGGAGCTACTTCCGAGAGCTCGAGCGTCCCGCTTTCAATCGCAGAGCGACCCCGATTATCATCGTGGCTTAGGAATTTCGGATCATGAGCATACATCGAACCATACGTGCCTTTATTACCTGCTTCGATGCAGCGGCGATTCTGATAACAATTCACGGAGCTTTCAGAACTCCTTGAACGTTTCCCGGTGGATGTCTTCTCGATGCACCCGGGGCACTATTTGGAATATGTCATAGGGTCTGATATATCGTGGACTGAGTTCGATGCGGATCTTCGCTTTCTTGTGGTAGATTTGCATGAAGTCCAGGTCGAACCAGGCATGCTCTTTGATATCCGCGATACCTCGCTCCATTGTACCCAGTCGGGACGAGACTTTTTTCGTCATCAAACCCCGAATGAAGTTTTGAGCCGCTTCGCTGATGGTGCGAGAGTCCGAAAATTCCAATTCATGTTTCACGATCGCGAGGTGTATCTGGCGATCTGTCCAGTCGGCGTTTGTCAAACCGTAGTCTTTGAAAAACAAGACATAAGTGAAAACCCCAAGAGCCCACCAATCAACTCCGACACCATACATTTCTCTCAATACTATCTCGGGCGCCATATAATATATAGTCCCGACGTAAGTGGAGGTTTTCTCTCCGTCGCTTCGCTTCGCCAATCCGAAATCTCCCACTTTGAGATAACCGTCCTCGAACATCATCACGTTTTCCGGCTTCAAATCTCGATATAGAATTTTGCATGCGTGCAAGTACTCGAAGGCCAGAACGATTTGTGCGACGAAGAATTTCACGGCCTCTTCCGACAGGACGCCTTCCTTGTCGATCAATTGAGATCGAACATCTCCGTATTCGGCGAATTCCATCACCAGATAGAGGTTGGTCGGATCTTGGAACCCGTATAGAGCTTTGACGGCGAACTCGCTGTCGAGAGCAGCTTGCATTTTCTTTTCCGCGATCGGACCTTCAGGGAAGTGTCGTTTCACGGCCCGCTCCTTGCTCTGGATTTTTATGGCGCATGGCTTCGTGTCTGTCTCATGGCGGGCTTTGAGCACTGTGCCGAATGCGCCTGATGCAACATAACCCAGAATCACGAATTTACCGAGCTCAGACTTCGGCAAGGCGTTCGCCGCGAATTTTGCCTGGAATTCCTCGTCTGCACTCGCGAGATATTTCCTATACTGCTTCAGTTCGTAAGCCTTCTTTTTCTTTGGGTCGAAAAAGAAAACGATCCGATTCACAAAGCGTTTCCCCAGTCGTCTGGCGGAGATATCGCGCATCGTTGTTCTCTTCGCTCAGAGCTTTGATCTTGCGCCTCACCATACTTCCGACCCAATACCAGTCCCTCGAAACCAAGAGTGAAGTCTAACGAAAATCGATCCGGTCGAGTTCCGAGGCATGGCTGCTCTCCGTCCTTCTGGCCCCAGATTACTGGAGGAGGAAGACCGGACAGCGAAGCCCGCAGAATCGGCAACCGTCACGACCTGCTCCCTTCGGCCAAAAACACGTCGGCCAATGGGAAGGGTTACAATGACTGACACGCATGAGATGGAATCAGGCTCGATCTGCAGTGGCCAATAAGCGGATCTGTCGACCAACAATAAGCGGCCTATCCGCTTCATTGACAACTTGAGCCTATGGGGATCGCAGTCAGACTATCGAAAGCTCCTAAGCCCAAATGATGTGGTCCAGATTGGACTGCGCGAACAATAGCCCAATAATGGCGAATATCCGACACATCTTTATTTTTCAAAAGTCCGTTCCGCAATTTTCTTTGGAGAGTAGATCGGTAGATCTAAATGGGTCCCGACACTCCGTCAACTAATCAGAAGTGCTTGAAAGCGGCTTCAACACCTCTTGTTAGAGGTTCTGGCCGATCGAATTGCTCGTTTGCGATCGGGTAAACCACTCTCCCTGGTGACATGATCCGGATGTCGCACTTCTTCTTCGACATGTCTTTCCACTTGAAGCCCTCGAAGAATTTGTGTTGTTCGATTGGCTCTTGGCCAGGAGCTCCGAGTCGCTTCGTCTTATCTTTCACCAGCAGATCCTTGAGCAGATTACCTAACGGAGTGTTCTCCTCGTCCGGGAACCAAGTCACTTCATTGAATTCAATGCTGCGAGAAACGTCACAGTCGTCAGCCTCCCAAAGGTCCGGAATCAGGGGGTGTCTCTTGAATTTCGCGTGGAAGAGCAGGATGCCGAGAGCCCAGTAATCGACCTCCTCACCGTGACCCTCGGAGCCGAACATTTCCGGGGCCATGTATGGACTGCACGAGAGAATCGAGAAGGCTCTAGCTCCTGATATGGGCATCAACTTGGCATTTCGGAATTCTCCGAGCTTCAAAAAGCCGTCGGCGAATATGAGAATCGAGTCCGGACACACATTGCGATGTATAACGCCGTTCCGATGGAGATATTGGAGCGCAATGATGATTTGAGCAGCGATCGCTCTGATTGTTTTGTCCCTGAGTTTCGTGTTCAGCACGGAACCTAGCGGCCCGAACATCGAGTACTCCGTGAAGAAATAGAGGTTTTCCGTGTCTTGAGATGCGAACACTAGTTTCACGATGAAATCATTTCCTTCCACCGCGGCGTGTATTTTCTTCTCCTGTACTGCTCTGCTCTTCGAGTAAGCAGTTTCGAGCTTCGCTTTGGAGAGGACTCTGAGTTCGAGCGTTTCCTTGGTCGGTTTGTGGAACACTTCATAGTAAGATGCATTCGGTGCTGTTCTATGACCTATTTCACCGCGGATATCGAACTCAGCTATGTCCGCTCGAAGACAAACATTCCGCTTGTAACGGTCACGCACAGCTGAATCTTGTCTCTCAGACTGCGATCCCAAACTTTTCGAGATAGATTTTGATACCGTCCCTAATTTTGATTTCAGGGACTGTGACGACTTGGAGTTGCCCATCGTTATCTTCCAGTCCTAGACTCGCTTCACACTTGAATCACCCCCAATTTTCAGCGGAACTCCTCATCGAATTCGTCGCTGACCCATGATGGTTTTGTGTTCGAGGATGGATCGACAGCTCGAGTGATCGGAGTGAATAGATGCGTAAGTGTACGGGGCTTCGGAACCGAGTAGATATTATTGATTGGATACGGTCGAGGGGGAACCCCCGCCCTCGATACGTGCAGCCCATCTATCAATCAGCTGATTCTCAAAGAGAATATCTGATACGACGATCCGTGGCATTCTATCGAGGTGTATCTGGGATCTGGGAAGCAGGAAGGATTGACTGCCGTAAGCGAGAGGGAGGAGACAATCTTTCTGGTCGAGAGTAAACTGGCAGCGTCCGAGCTCTCGTCCGAGAGGAGTGATTGAGGCCCAGCCTTCAGAAGGCCATTCCAGTCGGATATTTGTGATGCGCCCCCTTCCTTCACTCCAGGGAGTCACGGGACAGTTGGAATCCGACTTATCATAGGATGACGATGAGGGAGGTGTCACCCCTTTGACCATCCGCTCCAAGAACGGGTTCAATGACCTCACTGCTCTCTCTACAAGAAGTTCGTAAAATCGTAGGTATAAGAATAAATTTTTCGGTGCTTTCCGACGGGCGGTTTAGCATGTCGCTCGGGAGCAGAGCATGGAGGATGGAGCATGAACCCGTGGAAGTCTGAAGGGAACAAGGGAGAGTTAGCCCCGCAAGCTGCGACGCACGGAATTACGGAGGGAGACAAGCGGATTGCTATTCCTGCAGCGCAGCGGCTGCGACCAAGACAACAGGCTCCGAGCCCGAAGGGAGGCGAACGCCGCAGAACAATAAGGAGAATTCCGAGTCATAGTCTGCCGCCTCACTTTAGTCGAATCGCAGTCATCTCTCGACGAATCTCTTCTGGTTATCTCTGCGAGGCGAGAGTTCTTCTCTGTCCTAAAAACCATGGAAATGGGTGATTTTATCTGCTGGTCTATCCGGAAGTTCGCATTTCCCCATTGGTTTCATCGCTTCGGGTTCCATCTTGAACTGGAAATCTATTCCTTCGTCCCTGATCCGTGTCCATTCAAGATTTTTGAACCATTCCTGATCCTTCGCATTTTGGTAGCGACCCCCGATTCGATGATCGGGCTCCTTGAGCAGCAATCCCGCAATGAACTTCCGCGGGGGATCTTCAGCTTTTGTTTCGGAAGGCCAGGTCACGTTGCCGTCTATGATTAGACGCTTCATGGTTTCGGCATCGGACTCTTTACCGTCACTAGCGAAAGGAGATGCTCGATACGCGATTTTGAATAGGAATATACCAAGAGCCCAAAAATCGATTTCTCTACCGTATCCGTCTGGCCGAAAGATTTCAGGGGCTAGGAAAGGTTGGAACTGCAGCATCGTCCTGGTGTGAGGGAACGACGTACTGTATTTGGCCAAAGTTAGGTCTCCGAGCTTAAGGAAACCGTTAGCGAACACGTAAATGGAGTCTGCGCAAACCTGACGGTGTATGACATGTTTCCCATGCAAATGCACCAATGCTAGAACAATCTGCGCAGCGATCACCCTGAGCGTACTTTCGTCGAATGTCCGATCAGCTATAGAGCTGAAAGCCCCGTATGTCGGGTATTCGTAGAACAGATACAAATTGTTGGCGTCTTGGGACGAAAATAGTAGTTGGACGAATCGAGGGTGCTTCAAAGCCCAAGCGATCCGTTTCTCTTCAACCGCCCTCCTCTGCCACCAGCGATCGTACATCATGCATTTGGCGTAAACCTTGAGCTGAAATTGCTTCTTAGACTTTCTGTGCTCCACTTTGAAGAAGTTCTCGCAATGCCTCGTAGCTCGATCTAATTCAGCGAGCACGTCATATTCGTTGATGTCAGCGCGGGCACAAGTGTTCTCTCTGAAATGTCTTTCGAATTGATCTTCCTCGGATTTGTATCCTTTCTGTGACGAGAAGAAAGCTCCCATCGTTATTCTCAGGGCATGAAGGAAGACCGTCCTCACGTGCGTTCACTCCCCGCGCTGGTGATGCGGTGCGCCGCGCCGGTCTGGTACGATTCGCTGTTCCTTTCTTATCCTGGTCTCCGGCTAACGGGATCCGACGCCTCTAATTTAGAACGGTTTTCCTCATCCAGACGCAGGGGATCATAGATCGGGGAAGTATTGATTTGTCGGGCTCTGACAGCTGGGACTCAACTGTCAGATTCCGCGTTCATGGGGACAACGTTGTGGAGCCCGATCGCGGTGACCTTCTCCTCGTATTAACGTCTCCGGCTTCCGGGAAAGAGAACCCATCTCACTTACACTGCCACTGACACTGCCCTCGTCCACAGGATGTCATAGGGTTTCGAGTTAGCCGTAGGAATCACGTCTCTCCTCCTCTGGGACAAATCAAAGCACCTGAAGCGACCCTTGCGACGAGCCTCAGCCGACTTCCGACCACTTAACGGTATTATTCGGGCTCATGATCGGTTCCCCTAGAGTCTAGAGCCTAGAGTCTAGAGGATTTGACACCCCTGCCCTAATGGAATGGAGACTAATGGAATGACGATTGGGCCGGGGCTTCGGCGAGCCCAGGCCTACCTTCGACGGTAGCCTAGAACCTACCCGGAAACTTTATGATCGAGACCTGGGATCGCCAGAATTTATTTGGCTTGAGCCCGTTTCGTTTCTTGTCCTCCACGAACGCGAATGCACCATTCGGAGCTGATGAGGGACGAGACGCATTAAAAGCCTTCGTATCCTTGCAAATCCTCGGGCTCCATTTTCTCGTTGCCTGCTCGACCCATGATTCCTTCCTTCGAGGCTTTCGGCTCGTCGATAAACACTTCGAGTTTAAAATCCTTGGCGGTCATCTTTTTGTGATTTATATCTTTGAAAAAAGGGTGGAACACCACGCCCGACATACCGGGCTCCACGCGACCGAATCGACGGGCGGCCGACTTCTCCAACAAGCCTCCGAGCAGGTCCTTGATATCCCTGTAATCCTTGGGATATTTCTTGGATAGTTCCGCGGGGAGAGCGAGGGGTTGGAAGTGAATGTCTTCTTTGACGTGTACCTCGTGCGTCCTGGTCGAAAAAGGATGACGCCCTTCGCATAGCATCTCGTAGAGTACCACGCCGAAAGCCCACATGTCGACCTGCCGCTCGTAACCGTCTTCGCCGAACATTTCGGGAGCCATGTAGCGGGTCGTCCCAATTTTAGAGAAAGTGCGATCGGGGACAACTTTAGCGCATCCAAATTCTCCCAGTTTCAGATAACCATCTTCGAAGATGAAGATGTTCTCCGGCGAAATATCGCGATGACAGACGTGAACGTCGTTCAGATACTCGAGAGCCAGGGCCATCTGTTTTGCGATGATTTTGATCGTCCTCAAGCTCAAGGCTTTTTTTTCCTTGAGGAATCTCCCGAGATGGCCGTACTTCGCGAACGGCAAGAGCATGTACACATACTTGCTGTCGTGGAATGCGGAATCCAATCCGAGTAAGAACTCGTTTCGTGCGGCGAATTGGATCATTTTCTCCTGGACTACCCTGCTCCTCCGGTAGCCATCGTCCAAGCCCGTCTTTTGGTAAACTTTGAGGAGAAACTTTTCTTTCGAAGGCAGCTTCTGAACTTTGTAGAGACTCGCGTTCGACCAAGTAACGATGCAGCCGAGCACGAGCAAGTTTTCCCGTTTCCCTTTGGGACATGAGTTTTCGTCATAGCGTTGGATGAACTGCTGTAATCTGTCTTTTTCATAGAATGCGTTGTACTTGCGTTCGATATCCGTTTTCCTCTGCTCGGACTCTCGTACCGATGTCGGGTCATCTCTGAATGGTTTCTCCCTCAGGAGCTCATCCGTTGCCGGCTGAATGTGTACCGAAGCGCTAGATCTCCTACGGAAGCTAGGGATATGTAGACTAGAAATGGATTTCCTGACTGGAGCAGGGACTGCGTTTCCCATCGTTATCCTCGGGCTTCCACATATATTAGCGATTCTAGATAAACATGTGCCCGAATTGTACATCCAGCGTCAGAACAATCTCCCGCCTTCAAAGACATACTTGTTAAAGAGTTTCCACTGATAACGATTAGAACAGGGAGAAGTAGGGTGCACGTTGAGCATGCCAGCGCGTCGATCAGTCGGTCGCTCACCGCGCGAGGGACAGCGCGCGCGGGATATCGAGACGAGTCGCAGCGAAATAAACTCTTGAGAAACGATCGAAACGTGTGTTCTTCGGATTCGGGGAGGCATCGGCTAACACATATATACTCGGAGACGTCTCTGATCGATTGATATATAATATTTACCTAGGTATATCCAGACATCCAGACGAATCTCCCATGCAAGCTCATTCTGGAGAAATAGAACCCGCGTGGGCGTCCTGGGATGCATGGTGCTCACCACCCCCCTCTCCGCCCAGAAGGAGGTTGGGAGTGCGGTAGGAAGCCAGACGCTAGGATCCGTATGAAACTAAGAAAGCCGGTGAGACGCCGAACTCCAGTAGAACCCTTCTTTCCTGACTTCTCGGAAAAAGGAGCGAGTTTTCTGTCCGGGACTTCCTCAAATGCGTGGAGCAACGATTGAGCTAAAAAGCCAAAAACCTCTTCTCAAGCCGAATCTCATTCCCACAATATCCATCTCTCGGTCTGCTAGACTTGATGTTCACGCGCGTCTACCCGCCGCCGAGAGCGATCATCTCTCGCAGAGGTGCACAATACCTGGGGACATCTCCGGATATCTCACCTAGTTTATGGGGGATCGAGTTCGCGCAAACTGCAACAATCGTGGAACGCGAGCTGCGTAGTATCATGATGACACTATTGTTCTGTTCAACCGTATACATTTCAACTCTCTGATCGGATGCTTGAGAATTCAGATCCCATTGCTCTGTTTTCCAGATCACTGTCGACTCCGAGCCGCGCACGGAGACCTCTGGCTTGCAAAGGGGCACGCTCGGTCCATTGCTGGCCCAATCCGGGTGGGCATTTTTCAGTACCACTATTCTGCTGAAATCGTTTGTTGAGGAGTTGGATGTAGTTGAAGGAACACAAACGAAATTTCCTTCATTGGTCTCGATTTTGCAAGTCTCTCCCGGCCGTTCTCGAGTGCTGGCATCCACGTACAACATGAACTTTCGAGCCTTTGATGCCCTTTTGAATCAGAAGTGTATGAAAGGATCTATATCTTCAAGTCCGCTGGGTCTTGGCCAACTTTGCTCTCGCTCGACAAACGCCGGATTAATCGGAGGGAGCAGTACCCGCAGCCGCGCCCTCTTTGAAATGAAGTACTTGAACTCGACCCCGTCGAAGAAGGGATGCTCTTTGATGCCGTTCACTCCATGTCTGACTCCGAGTCTAAAATTAGGGTTATCCGCCAACAACCAGCAAAAGAAGTCGAAAGCGCTCGATTCCTCGTCAACATGCTCCGGGAACTTTGGAATTACTTTTCTGCCCTCAGCGGGCGGATCCGACCAATTACGACCCGCGAAGGGAAGCTGGTCGTACAGACATTCGAACAGTGTGACGCCTAGAGCGTAGAAGTCAACAATTCGTTGATATCCGTCTTCAAGAAACATTTCTGGAGCCATGTATCTGGGCGACCCAGTAAACGTGTACGTGGTGTCTTCTTGGCGCATCATCTTGGCCAGACCGAAATCGCCGAGTTTGAGATAACCGTCTTCGAAAATAAAGACGTTGTTCGGCTTGAGATCGCGATAGCAAACATCGCATGAGTGCAGATACTCGAGTCCCAAGATCATCTGTGCTCCGAGCAGTTTGACAACCCTCTCCGAAAGTCGACCGGCCCCCATGAATCTCTCAAGATCCCCGTGCTCCGCGTACGGTGAGATGAGATACAGGTTCTCGGCATCCTGGAACGCGAAAACCAATTCCAAGACGAAGTGGTTCTGCAGAGCGTATTGAACTTTTTTCTCCTTCAAAGCTCTTGGTCGATTTGCTTCATTAAAACTCTGTTTCGGCTGTTGTTTTAACGCGAAGACCCTTCCGTCTCTGAGATACTTCACTTTGAAGACGATTCCGAATGCCCCTCGGCTCACGTACCCGAGGTTTCTGAAGTTTTCGAGTTGTTCTTTCGGGCAAGCATTGGCCTCGAAACGGCTTTGGAAACGACTTCGTGCTGTCAGAAGCTCTTTCTTGTACTTTTTCTGTTTATTCCTGAACAAATCCCCTAACTTGAATGGCCTCAAGCGCGCTTCCCTGATGAGCTCCTCTGATTGTGCTTGAGCACGTTCTTCAGAAGAAATTAAGGAATATCGAATACCCATCGTTATCCTTGCTTTGTTGACGCTGGCGAATGACACGATTCAGCGTCAAAACTTAGCGTGGTCAGTAGTGGTCATTCCTTTTTTTACGATTGCTTGAACCGCTCGAGTTCCTCACGATAACTGCTCTCAGCTGAGTCCAAGATCCGCGAACTCATTCGCCGGAACACCAAGTCATAAGTCCTATCTCATCTAGAGCTGAAGAGTTGAGCTAAGTCTCATCTGAAGCTCGCAGGAGCGCGCGTTTCCCTTTCATCGGAATGGAAACGCTCATCGATTTGTGGATTGGGTATCCACGGGAATCGATGGATCCTACGAAGGATGATATTCACGGGGTAACTCGAGAATGCTCCTCGAGAAGTTCAGTCCCACGTCTGGAAGCAAAATGAATATCTTCCCGCGCCTGAGTTCCAAAGACCCTCCACACCCAGTCTCAGAGGCGTATACGGGGGGGCAAAAGGGCCATGCCATTTCTCGTAATGCATGACCACAGCGTGCGTCATCATTTTGGACCTTTGGCCCCCCGAACACCTGCCCCCCCCCCCGAAAAAAAAATCCTGGAAACGCTACTGCTCAGTGTCATCACTTTGACAGGACCTAGTCAGAGCACGACCCATCAGGGTCCTCCGCGAGGAATCGTGCTCAAAGGGAGAACTGGGGATGCCCCTGCGACCGCCGGAATCTTCCGGAGAAGCCCCCCGAACACTTCGAGTACGCTAAGTTGGCGGAAACGCCAGACCGTCGAGTGGAATACGCGAAGCACACTCCATCGGGTGAGCATGCAGCGATAATCCGGTATGCGCCAGGACTCCAAGGCAGAACTCCGAGGCAGTGAAGGCTCATTGCGCGGTCCAGAAACGACAAAGCGATGAACAGAATCAAAATCTGCTATCGGAAGGGAATACTGGGAGCTCGACGGGACAATTTGTTCAATAATACGCTGTGAGCTCTCTTCAGAGATGAATTTTTTCCTGACGTGGCAATTCGGAGTCAGTCAGGCATTTCTTTACAATGTCTCAGTCAAACAGAGGGAATTCGCTCAAGTCGTACGCTGGATCATATCGCGGCCAGTCGCTATCAAGGGGCGGTCTGGGTGTAATCGAAGGGATCCTCGCATTGACCAGGGTTTCGAAGGAATAGACGCTCGCGAAGGAGAGCCCCCGGAAGTACGGGTGCTCCTTGATTTCCCACAAATCTTGTCCTCCGACTCCGAGTCTGTACCTGGGGCCCGGCTCCAACAATTTTCTTATGAAATCATAAGTCGGAGAATCGCGGCTCTCGCTAGCGGGGAAACGCGGCAGTATTTCCACGGTGCGGCGTCTGGCCCGCATCGCACTGCGCTGCTCCTTCGAGAACGGGTCTGCATTGTACAGACAATCGAAAACCAAAACGCCCAGGGCCCAGATGTCGATGCTCCGGCCGTAACCTGACCAACCAAACATCTCCGGAGCCATGTAGAATGTGGTTCGACAAACTGCGTATGAGACTTCACCCTCACCGAACCTCAGGGCGAACCCGGAAGCCCCGATTTTTAGGACATCGTTTTCGAAAACGAAGATATTCTCAGGCTTGATATCACGATGGCAAACATTGCTCGCATGCAGGAATCCAAGTCCAAGTATTATCTGAGCTACGGCGGCTATAGCGGGAAAGACTTCAAAACATCCGATATTTAGCCTTGACCGGGTCAACATAGACAGGGTCAGAGACATGTATTCCGTGACTGGGGTTCACGGGCCGTGGTTTGGGAGCCGTGCTTCACGGTCCGTAATTTCTTTCTACGGGTCTTCGAAATCCCTTATCTCTTATTGCTATCGAACATTTTCCAAGTATATCCCGAGGCGCCTCTCTCTCCACCTCCGACAAGTTCCCGAGGGAATCATGTGTTGCGATTTTACGCTCCCGAGCGCTGCCGACCTGTTGACTGTTTAAAATCCCGCAGTTACGCATCGCCTGTCATGAAGGCGGTCCACAAACAGCACCTTCTGAGTCCTGAAAATTCTCAATTCTGACCATGCCTGTTTAGGCAATTCCGCCGCGGTCATCCTGTACTCTACCTTGCTCAACACGATATGAGATATGCATGAAGAAAAGATAAACACTGGATACAGATCTCATTCCCGCGCAATCGCATTTGCCGGCCGGGGTTGAAGAGCAGGCGACGGCGAGCACTATCAGCATTCCAGCACCCCAACTCGTACGCTGTAACCGAACGGAGACGCGACGTGCAACGACTTACGCCTTCTCGCTGAATAACGTCTATTCCGATTCTTTTATTCAGTCGTGGTTTCTTGTCAAACCCATGCAGCCGCCCATTTCCCAGTCCAGTAAGTTCGCATCTGGCATGCTCCAACTTTTTGAGCTATCTTCCCGTAGTCCTATTCCTAATGGTCGGTGTTCCCAGATCCGAGATCTCCCGACTTTCGATTCGTCTCACCCCTAACCCTGACCCCCGTCGTAGAAAAGGAAGACGAGCATCAGCCTCAAGTCCATCTCCGAAATCGGGAACTGCATTGATCGTGAATCCAGGCTCTAGGACTCTCGAACTCTCAACTTCGATACAACCATCAGTGTCGAGAAGGCTCTTCCACTCCCACCATCGAGTACAGAAGGACCGGCGAAAATCGATGCTTCGCACTTCGCGGCTCCGCGGGAATGGAGGCATATCCCTTCATGGAGGACGAGGAGGAGCAGTACTTCGCTGATTCGGATCAAGCTCAGTCGTCAACGGTTGGATTGGGTGGGAATAATTATTAGAGCTCAATGGCTGAATCTAGGAATGCTGAGATATGGAATACTTGCCATCCGGATGATCTACTCAATATTCTCTATTTCGAAGCGTACTCGGTTCGAAGCATGGAGGTTTCGGACAGTCTTGGGACGGTACGTATGAGAGTCGTACGCAATATGCCCCAAGATTCGCCTGACTTGGGCTTGGGAAGCTCTCGCGAGTTGCGTTCTGAAAGTAAGAACAAAATCTTGTGTATAGATCATGCAGGATGTAGGCTGAGGCTCCAAGCTCGATGTATGAATGTATGCTATTCCGATCCCAAAGCTGCTCATCTCGAGTGCTGTTTCGCCGATCCGGAAAGGAGTCGACATTTTTCCTTCTGCATCCTAGATGCACGGGACCGTAGGGGTGAGAAAGAAACAGAGCCTACCGTCGATGTGAGCGAGACTCACCGTGACCCCTTTGTGTCGAGAGGACCCTCAAAATCGAGCGATTGTATGACGACCGGGAGATGCACGGAAACCGAACTCGCTCCAAAGAAGTCTTCCGGTTTGTGATCCAATCCAATGCGATGACTCGAAAATTCTTATATTTTGCGTTTCCCCCTGGAAGACTGGCAGACTGGATATCCAACTTGCAGATGACGCTCTGTGGCTACACTTTGACCTCTTGAAATGTATGAATCATGTTCTGTGTAAAGACGAACAATGTCGGAAGAAGAAAAAAAGACTTTCGTATCGGAAACATAGCAAGAGCGCCATGAGATGCCATCTGAACTCCCATAAAGTCAAGTCTGAGAATGAGGCCCGCCGACGCAGTGAGGCATCGGCTCTTATCTCGAAGTTGGATACGTCGAAAATGACTTACGAGTGCCGGGATAAGATCCTTGCTCATTTACTGTCAGCAACCTCAATGACGGCAAACACTTTCTCAGACACGACCGTCCAAATGATATTCCAAAAAGCGGGCCTCGGCGTCCTTAACAGGAGCATCGCCATGAAGTGTGTGGAGCGGGAATATGATCGGGCTCGGTCGCAAGTTCGAGGCGAGATATCGACACTGAAGGAGGACGCTTTTTTTTCCCTAACTGCGGATGAGTGGACCTCAAGGGGCAAAGGATTTTTGGGTATATCCATCTACTGCTCAGAAATCATACCCGGGATCAAGAGTCGAAAAGTGAATCTCATCCGACGGATCCATGACTCCACGGCTGAAGGTCTGATGGACACTCTCAAAGCGGCGCTTGGAGAGCTGGGGCTTGCATTGAAGGACATATCGGCCCTCACGTCGGATGGTAAGACGGATGGTCTGCGAGCTGCGAGTCCATCAACGTTTGGACCTGCTCCTGATCTAGTGTTTCTGCACTGCGGTGCCCGGTACGCTTCCCCCGAAAAATCAGCCTCCCATCGTTCAGACCCTTTTTTGTGATGAATACGAAACGACATCGTTGTAGGCTTCTCCGGGCTGGACCTCGGATTTATGATTTCGCGTTTCTGGTAGAGAGAAGAGCTGTAGAGCATCCGACGAATGATCGAAAGAGCGATTACATTCGGGAGAATCGGGGCCGGGTACCTGCGCTTCCGTTACTAATATCTCGCCGAAAGCCGGGATCGAACCCCCGTTTTCTCGTACGAAGGGTGTCCTTTCACGAAAAAAGGCGGCGCCGACGTCTATCAAACTGAAACGCACCTTGCACGAGACGTGGAAGTCGCGCTCCACTCTCAACCACCCGCCGGCGACGGTTATAGCTTCGAGCTAAGCGTGAATTTGAATTTGTAGGTGCAGCCGTGATGAGACGTTTAGGCAAGCTCATCGATGAAGCCGTTGCTCCGAAACCATTTTATCAGCATTTATGCTACGCTCACGGCCTGCATCTCGCCGTGAGCGAAACATTGCAAGGTCTCTCTCCGCACCCCGTCAGTGAGGAGGACTCAGCAGATGACGAGATCCCCGGAAGAGACGGGGCGGCGCTTTCTCGAGTCATCCAAAAAGTCAGAGACATTTCGAAGCTCTTCAGAGTACCGAAGAGATTCTCTGCCCTCGGAAGCGTGGTCAAACTGAGGCCGAAACTCGATTGTGAGATCCGTTGGAATAGTACACTGGAAATGCTGCGTCGCTTCCTCCGGATACGGATATTTTACGAGGAAATTCTCCGCAAGGAGACGAAAAAGAAAAGTTTCCCATTCAGCAACGCTGAGATAAGCGAGATCAAGCACTGGGTTGAGATACTGCAGTTTGTTGAAAGTGCCACTCTCCAACTATCGAAGGAAGGCCTGGATCTTTTGGATGCCGATCTCATTTTTGAGGTAATATTTCCTATGCCTAAATAGCGAAACGATTTTCAATTTTCGGATTATCACTCATTGGCGCCGTACAAATGGGCGATAGGGAGCCAGGTCCAGACCCAGACATTACCCTGGCGAGGTTCTCAAAAGCCCTTGGACAAACACGAATGTATGCATCCATATTTGTATGCCTCCATAACAAATAACAACGTCAGTCTTTGACCGACGATAACTCGTTGGTTGAGAGGGCAGCTCGTGTTCCCCTCCTAGCTCGATCGGTCATAAAGCACCCTGTGAAAATCCGCTTCCTCTCCGCGAGATCTCTCGGAAGTGGCGGGAGTTCGAGACCTGCTGCCTGAGAAATATTTCTGTGGTGCTGATTGTAAGTCTAAGGGACCGAACTTATTCTAGAAGCTTCTCGCGGATCTTGACGGCTCGACCTCAGAATTCGCTTCCCTTCTGAAATACAACGTCACTCGCCGCATGATCCAACGTCGAGGAGTTGCTTCCAAGTGCCTGCGATATCTATTTCCCGCCGAAGGTTGCGAGGATGTGGAGAAACGTCTTGACAGAAGAGTCGATCGAGGTTTCGAGGAAGAAAAAGCACAGCCGAAAACGAATCTCGTTCCGTATGGCAGTACAGTCGAGGCCGAGTTGATCAAGCATTGTTTCTTCTGGCTGAATATTGCGCCAGAGGAAAGAGATTCGGCAAAAGGTCGGCGGGCTGAAACACATTGCCGTACCCTAATGGAGCTCCATGAAGAACACAGCGACCGAGGAAC